CAGAGGTTGTTTCAGGGTACGATCTGTAAGTTAGCCGTGCCCTGCTGACTTTGATCAGCCCAGAGTTTGTTTCAGGGCTCGATCTGTGAATTAGCCGTGCCCTGACTTAGATCAGCCCAGAGGTTGTTTCAGGGTATCGATAAGCATACTATAAATGTTTTACAGTTGGACAAAGCAATTCAAGAAAAATTACCTGATGTTTTGTCTAAAAGAAATAGTCTATTGACCTAACACGTTTTATGATTAATGTGCTGTGTTCGAGATTGGTTATTGATACACTGTAATTACAGTAGAATGATAATTGGAAACATGGTCTGCATGCAAAGGGTCCACACACTGGGTCAGTCTTCTCCACTTGGTTTATCTGAAGTTTAGTGTTTATTTTTGTGTAAGGGAAACCAAACAAGCCAAAAAAACTGACGTCTTCAATTAGCAGATATCATAGATGCATGTAAATAACATGCAAATGAGACAACAAGCATGTATGATTCACGAAACAAAAAAACTACTCATTGCGGGTTTAACAGTAATAACAGCTATTCCAGACGTACTCCGATTGTGAGAGTGCTCTCGTCTCCGCGATTCTCGCATGTTAATACTTCCAATTCTCCGTGTAAGAGAAAATGTTTTCATGAGTGTGAAACGGCATGGCACGTGTTATCTCGTTACAACGCGCGGAATGGACAACATCATTTGAACCAATCACAGTGCGCGAGATCAATCGCCGTCCAATCAGAATGCTTGTTCTAGGCACCTTAACACTCTTACGAAAACTACTCTAGTTAGACGTCAGACACACTTTAGCAGACATAACTTCAAGCCGTCCATATCCGTCCATACTTCAATTTGATTATCAATATATATATACATACATACAACATGCACATTTTGAACACTTCACAGTTTGGATTAATTAATCAAGAAATRATAGAAACAAACCTACACAAGAACTTGCTAGAATGAATGTGAGTCTTTTTATGTACACAGGTTTGTAGTTTGAACCCAACAAAATACACTTCAATCAATTGTAAAGAATTTCTTGTAAGTCGGGGTCTGCATGCAGAGTATAATATGACAATGTAGTATACAGTGCGGAACAAGGTAAAAACAATGGCCTAGGTAACTATGATTAACCATTTGGCTAGTTCTAGCCTGCGCAATGAAATGAGACCTATTCTGTCCATCAATATAATAAGGATGAGAATATGAATGAGACATGTACGAACTTCAAGCTAAGTAAATACTTGACTCACCTGACTCTTCAGTCTTTTTATCACAAAGATACTCTAGGTTATTTTCTGTTTACCTTCAAGTTGTGTTATGATAAACTGAGTACCGAGCTTCTGCAAATCTCCTTCTTGACTCCGAAGGAATAGCTGAACATCCGAAACTGTTTATCATTACACGATATTAAACTTATTACTTACATCATTTCTGTCATACGACGTATATAGTAGCTCAAACTAGTTTAATCCGACACTTGTAGTTATCTCTTGATATTATCTAGTCTGCTGAACGAATACTACGAATAGTAGATAGATGAAAGAACATTCATAATAGAGAATGAGGTAGCAAAAGTAACACGCAAAGGCATCAGTACAGGATGTATCTTAAACAAATCAAAATCTAATCAATCAACTGATTTCTAATTTATAATCTCTCAAATTTTATAAACCTATCGTGAATGAGAACAGTCTGCTTTATCTAAATTAGTTTTTCTCGACGAATTACTGAGTTTTGTTTTATTCCTTCTCGTCAATAGTTCATCGATGACGATTCCATTCCTACTGCGTAAATGGGTAAAAATTAAAAATTAAAAATATATATTCCCCCAGAAACCAATAAACCAGGAAAATATCGAATAAGGCTTTAATCGATACAAGTCAATATTATCTACTATGCCAAATTCGTTTACATATAGACTCAATACTAGCTAGTTATACGACGATAATCATGGAACGAAAGAACGGGGTTTATATTCCTTATTTTCAGGATGTGAAAGATTTAGCTTGACCTGATGTTCATTCAAGGCATATAACACTTRAATCGACAGCTCTCACTTATGATCGTCAAGATATAACAAAACGTCAGTCACTTTTGAAGTCCTTTTTTGAGCACAATTTTTCTATAAGCCTTTTCATAGTTTAAGAATCGATTCCACTGCGCATGCGATTTTATCCCGAAATTCTCACCTTCTTTTGTTTAATTAAGAACAAAAGGTTTAGACAAAAGAAGGTGAGAAATTCGGGATAAAATCGCATGCGCAGTGGAATCGATTCTTAAACTATGAAAAGGCTTATTATAAACCACGTATCATGCTCTTAGAACCAATATAAGTTGTATCTATATTCATGCGTCTTCTCATATGCAACAGTTAAATAAAGAAATGATACTCTAGGGAATAACACGTGGTATGAAATGGGAAAGCATTAAAAGACGGAATTAACAATTAATCATGCTAAGTGGTTCATTGTTTAGTTCATTTTTGTTAACAATTATTATAACTTGCTTTAACAAACTCAGAAATCCTGAAAATCTGAGTTACGCAACCTCTATTTCTATCATCATCTGGAGTTTAATTTAGACGAGTGTGTGAAATGCCATTGGAGTTACATGCTCTAATCGATAAATTCTCGGACGTTCATTAATTTTATCAAATTGCTCAAGGCCAATTAGGTATACTTGATTGATGTACACATTGTAGTAAGTGTGACAAGCCTAGAATTATTCACTGTATAAAAACAGTGCAAGCCTACCTGACTGGCTAAGGATATTATACACAACTATAGACTAAAGCTTCTATTTTTGTTATGTTCTTTAAAAGGAARTTTACTCTATATACTACTCATATACACATCAAGTAAAAGATGTAACAATAGCTTCAATCAAAAAAGTCTTTTTTTAAGAAAAAGGAAATAAAAAAAAGGAAATTTACACTAGATGAACAAGTGCGATTTCGTAGTCCCATCACTCAGTTGCCACATTAATCGTGGTAAAGCAAGAATTGATGCATGGATAAAAATAAATAAAAAAGTGAATAAATGATTGCATAAATGAATAAATGAACGATTAACTAAACGAACGAATGAACGAAAGAATGAATTTCATGGAAGTAGAACCAAGCAGAAAACTGCGAATTAACAAACGAATAGAAAAACTATACGGAATGTTATATTTTCCTTGAGTTTTGGAACTAATTCCTTATGCTTACCCAACCAAACATAAATGTTCTAAAAGAAATAAAAATCGAGCTCATTATGTTTTTAGAATTTGTTGCTTTCAAAAGCACCCCTCCCCCCTCCAAATCAAAAGAAAATAATAAAAAATGAAAGAAAATAAATAATGAATAAATAAAAAATATGGGACCACAATATTTGGACATTTTCAGTCAGCAAAACAAGCCAAAAATAACAAACTAAACCAAAGATTTCGTTATTTTGGGCCTAATTTATTTATCGCTGAATGTGGCAAAGGAGGGCTAATTTAGACAGCAATTTCTAGCCGGCTAGGTTTTTTAAAGGCATTCTAAGCTAGAAAATAATTCAATCAAAAATAGATATATCATAGATATCAAGGGTGATATCATCCCATCTTTGATAAAATAGGATGCAACTCATGAAATGGAGCTGGCTTTAAAAACTTTCTAGTTTGAAATAAAAAAGAAATTTCTGTTTACATTATATTACGATTTGCATCACAACGGCCTTTTGAAGAATAGAAGACATCTGCTTTTTTGGCAATAATTTCGAAAGTGAATGAAATCGTTTTAACCGACATTGATTCACTTAAGCCAATCAAGAAATCGTACATACAAACACTATTTCAATCGCTAAAATAATCATAATTAATATATACAGTTATTCAGACTGATAATTCCTAAGCAGGTCTCCAGATATCTCAAGGTAAAAGTTAATATACRAAAACGCAACGTGACCAAAAAACCTAAAAACCAACAGTACCTTTCTCGCTTACTCTCGTTTTGTAAACTGAAGATAATTTTTAACGCCGGTTTACTCTAAATTTTGACGACTATAGTTTGAAAAAATTTTTTTTTAATGTCCCTAAACCAAATAACTGGAAACTGTTTTATAGGACAAACAAAACTGCATGAAAAAAAGGTTAAAGTTTTCATAAATAATATCTTGAACACTCACGTCGTGGAAAGATGCTGAAATTAGTCGAAATTTTTTTCGTAAAAATATAAATGAAACAAATTTAAAGTGCAAAATTTAAGGCAATTTTGATTAAAAAAATTGATAAAAATTATGATTCCAAGCAGCTTTTTTCTGAAGAACAGCATTTTTTTCTGCGGCCCCCGGTTGAATGAAGTTTGATAGAATAGCACGATGTCCAAACATAACTGAATTAAGGTAAACTCTTATTTAAATTTGAATTATCACAAATAAAATTAAATTGCAAGCCTAACTGTATTGTATAGCTATGTTCATAATTTTAGTGATCTTGAGATATAATGTTTCTCTTGATCTGGTGACAGCTTTTCCTAAAATCCTGCTTGAAACATTAAAGGAGAAAATACCTACGAAGATCTGCTGACCGATAGATAACCGTTAATTAACTTAAATAAAGAGCTTCTACCTACCTTATTTTCCTTGTACGAAGATTATGCAAACCAGGTTACGGCGTAAAGTTTGTAGCTTCTCTTTCTGTTGAAGTGATTCGATTTTTTTGACGTCTTCAAAGGTATTGAGAATGAAACCATTACAGCTTTGCAGCTCTGCTCTAAATGGATTCTCTCACGGTCGTTTTCATCTTCGCCACAGAAACAATCATCAAAATTTAAACCTTCTTTGTTTTAAACGTTAGGTAGTTGGATGAAACACAGTAGAAACAAAAATAAATAAAATCCTCACTTATTTGAAATACACAGGCCTTGAAAGCGAGGTGAGCTAAATGGATAATACAAGCAGAACTAAAACAATCTAAACTCGGAGTCGAATTAAAACAATTACATTTGCTGAAGATTTTTACTTGAATAGATAATGAACTATAGCTCGTCATTAACTATTAATAGTATTTGTGAGAATACAAAACGGCTCGGGGAAAATTAGTACAATTTGAKACTAAAATCTCGAGAGCAGTTGAGATAAAATAGTTTAATCAAGTGAAACATTCTTGTCGCTATGGCGGGAAAGTTGGGAAATTAGGCGGGAAATATAGAGCAACTGTTCAGCAACGTTCTAGAGTCGAACCAGTCTTAACTATTATACGAAACAAGGGCATACGTCACATTAATTTTAATGCCTATTACTAGAAACCCCTTTCTGAAGGTTTTTTATAGCATTATTTCAGCATTGTTTTATTTGACGAAAGAACTTCGAACCATTCGAGAAAATACGAAACCGCATTACGGTATAAATTAACCGAGTAATTGCCAATGACAAACTACAAAGCAAATTCGAGAATCGTAATTTATATTACTTGATCTCACAAATTAAACCCAAAACTATATTAAGCTTGATGTATCTGTTTTCTGTTATGTTTTACAGGACAAAGTTCTAGCCAATCAGATTGAGTTAAAAAAGATGATTGTTTTAGTAACTCGATAACGACCACAGTAGGCAGAGCACAGTAATCTAACTGATTAGTGAATTAAATTCATAAAGGTGGCTGACCAATGAGAGACTAGTAGGGTGATGTCACCTAGATAGCGAAGGTTCTTGTATTATGAGAGGAATATGGCTTACTTCACAGTCATGAAATTCGATAAAAAAAGAAAAAAGTCAAAAACCCGCAACGTTTCTGGCCAGATCTTCACAGAACCGATTATTATAACACTTATTTTTCAACATTTCGGTAACCCAGGACCATAGTTAATGCATGGTGGGGTCATTTTGACTACCATACCAAGATGCTTTGCAAAATTTTCTTTATAATTCATATTCTAATTCATTCATAATTCTTAAGTTGAGCATTCTTTACATATAGTATTTGGAAATATTCGGACGAAAAGTCAAACTAATAAACCTGAGTAAATAAATCTGTAATCAAGAAAAGCTYATAACCGGCCGCATTTCAGTGGTATTAGATCATTGCGATGAGCGTTTACAGCAAATCGGTCTGGTCATGAGACACGGGCTGAGTGTGACGTCCATCCCTAGCTTGGTTTCATGTAAAATACTGGATAATAAGACAATAAGAAAAAAAGCTTGAGATTAACACAGCATGGATTGAACGCTATAAAAAAACGTCCAGCTACAATGAAATAAGGCAACAAGTGATGATAAAAAATATACTATTATTCTCAGCCTAGGCATGAATTTGATTTTTCTAAATGCACTTTATTTTAATTCACCAACATTGATTTATTACATCTTTTATTTTATTTTAGAAATTAGAGGGTTTTTTTTGAGTCGTTTGTTCAAAGAATTGCCGCCCAAAAATATTTATAGTTTCCGTTGCGCACCAATCATAAGCTCAAACTGAACCAGTGCCGTACCGTTCAATCATAGCAAGGAAACCATTTAAGAGTCAAGAAGAATTGAYGTTTCTCATTCTTCCTCAACTAATGACTAGCTAGAAAATTACTCGTTCTTAGAATTACATTTGACTTAAATCAAAGGATTATTACTTTAGTATTGCCAGAATTATATCGAGTTACCATAGAATGTCAGATACGCCAGGAGCTGTAAGTGTGGAAGTGACAGGACCGGCCATGCAAATATGGAAAAAAATATRAAAACAAAAATATTTATTATATCATTTCAGTTGGGATGATAATTCTACATTATTATGTATGTGTGAAGGTGATTGAGTAGGGTTTTTGCTCACTTGAAATACAAATGTGTTGTAATCCTATAAGCAATGCAACGCATCTAGAGAAAAATATCGTCCAGGGATCCCCACGCGCGGATACTGAGTGGTCAAAACGTCGGACAATATTAAGAATACCGAAAACGTGGGTTCGAGTCACGTCAAGGGTTTATGTTATATTCGGTTTCCCTTGGGGTGTTTTGCGATCAAGATGATCTAAGAGACCAGTTATGAAATACAAAATCCACTTTCTTTTTGCGGAAGAGTGGATACGAATAGTTCCGAGGGGTCAAATTCCCTTTATTTTATCATATAGTGAATTTAGGATTTTGTTTTGCGTAGCAGAAGGCGTGCTCTCGACTCTCACATCTGGGGCCTTGGGTTTGATTCTGGACTAGCTATCACATGTAAGTTGAGTTTTTTGGGACTCTCCCTTGAATCAATTTGGGTTTTTTACACACTAAGTTCCAATTCTATCTGCGAATTAGTCGCGAGCCCTGTCTTTGATCACCCCAGAGGATGCTTCAGAGAATTGATATAGTTTGAAGATTTCCTTTTCCAAAAATTAACCTTGCTGGTGGATTGTTTTATRCATTGTTTGTACCGAGGCTAGACCACAATGCATTCGATTTATTTCAACTCCTAAAATCCTATAAACTACAATGAGTGAGCTAACCTTAGGCACAGTTTCCCCATTTCTTATCTTTGTCGTAGTGTATTGTGGTAGAGCACCAAAGACGARAATGGTCCGTCTTTGTACACGTGTTGTAGTGATGTCCTTTGTAGATGAATGGGAACGCGCAGAATCTTCCTGAAGTCGTTTTTACACCATTAGAATAAAATCCTGCAGAAAAAAAGAAATCAAAACTAAGGCAACATTGCTACCCAAATTGTTAATGTTGAATCGATTTGTCAATTCATAGAAAAGGAGCATGACGACTGAAAAATGGGGAGGTCATGTAAAGGGTACCTTGAAACAGACAATCCCAACGTTTTCGTGCCACACAAACCACTACGTAACTCTCGAGCAAGACGCGTGGCTCTTGAACCAGTGGCTGATTTTGCCCACACCCGAGACCTTTTAGGCAATCTCCTCGTCTTTACAGTTTTAACTTACCGGCTGTAATTTGACTTGAAGGGAATCTTGGGTGGTGACCCGGGTTCGATTCCCAGACTCAATTAGAGGTTTATCCGGGCTACGGGTTTTTCCTCCCTCCGCAAAAATCTACTTCTAAGAATTAAGAAGACCCACTTTTAAAAAAMCCCTGTTACAGTAAATTTCAATCCCGGTCGTTACCTCAAAACATCAAAATGTTCATTTGTGAAAGGACTTTTTGAACAAAACAGCACACCAAACAAATATAACTTTAAAATGGTAGCTTCAACTGTAGAAATAATTTTAGCTTTGCATGAATCTGTGAAGGACTAAATAAACTTTTAATCCGAGCCCAGAATTCAAATTTGCAACGTTCGTTTCATTAATGCAAGCTTCAAAGCAATATGGAAATCAACCTTCCAATAATGAACTGAATCTTTGAACCTTGATAGGAACGCATGAGTTGGTTGGACTGTAATTCCCATTTATTTTATTCATATTAAAATTTAAGGAATATCAAACGCGCGCACATGTCTCTGTACTGTGATATAAACATGCTGGGAGCTGTAAAGCAAAAAGAGAAGCAAGCTTAGGAACACGAGGCGTAGCCGATTTKTTCTCTTCCTTCTCGAGTGCTCTCCCTGCTCTCAGAGTGTTTATATCACAGTACAGAGACATAAGCAGCCGTTTTATATTGCTTTATAAAATATTTTCCAACTACTTTGCGCGAGCGTGTCTATGTCTTCTGATATAGACACGGTAGACAACCAATCAGCGTGCGCGTTTTATACTTTTCTAGTATATCTAGGCGCCTAACAACGATTAGGTGATTTTTTTTTTTTACCTGCACAGTTTCCCCACTTTCCACTGTACATGGCTGTTGTCGAACACCAGGGACGATTATGATCCTTGGTAGTACAGCTCTTGTAAACCACACCCTTGTAAGTGAACGGAAAGGCACAGTACTTTCCTGAGGCTGTCTTTACACCAGAAGTGAGACCTGTATTACGTTAAGCATACGTTTTATCCGATAGATCACCACAATGAAAATTTCATAGACGGTGTGATTTTTTGGACACAACAATTTCGATACATCACTGTCATTTTAAGCATGATTTTCTTTACATACCCGCACAGTTTCCCCACTTTCCACTGTATATGGC